GCAGGGGGGGCGAGGGAGGCAGCAGGGAGGGCGAGAGAGGCAGGCTCAGGGCGAGAGACGGGCTGAGGCGAGGCGGTGCGGTCGCACCCATAGGAGGGAGAAACGCGACTCGCAGCGAGAGAGTGAGACGGCGGAGCCGCCTCGGCTGGAGGGCGGCCGCGACGCCCCCTTGCGCTGCGGCACCATCTCGGTCAGCTTGAGGCTCGACAGCTCTTGCTCCTGCTCCTGCTCCTCCGACTTGTCGCAGGCTGAGGCTGCGCCGCGTCGGCGGGCGCCGCTGGCGGAGCTGGCGTGGCGCTTGGCCGGCGGGGGCGGGGAGAAGACGCGGCGCTTCTTCTCCTGCCGCCCCTCCATGCACTGCTCCAGCGCCTCGTGCGACGGAATCGCGGCGAGGGAAATGAAGTTGAGGTGAACCGCCGACTCGGCGTGGTGCCTCCTCGCTTCGCGCACGCTGTGGCGTGCGTCGCGCCCATGCACTCCTGGCGGTGCCATGAGGCCCATGCCACCACGCCTGAGTAGGTTTGTATTTACCGCGTTTGCGACGAGAGACGTCACGCCATCGCCGTTGCTGGGCCGGCGAGGAGACCGGCGGACGGCGGCGTGGAGATCGGCCGTTGGAGGCCCCTTTGGGCTGTCGAAGGGCGGCATGCGAGGCCGCGGAGAGCCGCCGTGCCCTGTTGTCTAAACCGGCTCGTTGATTGTGTTCAGACGGATCCTCAGACCGACACACTCGCGATTCACGAACGACAAAACAAAATTCGCTCACACCTGGCAACCCTGTCTGCACGTCTCGCGCGCGCGTGAACAGGGCTCCAGGCCCCAAATGACGTGTGAGTGTTAGAGTTGTTTGGTATTGCTAAAAATCTCTCTCTCTCGAACGAAGGTGCCGCCAACCTTCTTTCTTTCTTTTCCCGCCGACTAAACGCATCCTTCTCCGACTGCCCCGGCTAGTTCACGAGTTTCGCGATTCACGAAGGTGGAATTTCTTTCTTTTTCTAATACATAAACTTGGACCATTAAGCAGAGCACATTAGAAAAAAACATTAGAATAAGCTTGGTTGCTTGCTTGCCTGTCTGTGTGACTGTGTGGCGGAGGCGGGCGAGTGCACAGAGATAAGATGATTGACCGGACATTGTGAACATGATGAATCTAGCACCAGGGGGAGGGTTCCCGCAGCAGATCGCCGCTGATCTCCTCCCCGGGTCGAAGACGCGTCCCGTTCAGCTCGCACGCGCCCCCAAACCCAGTCCAGAGCCACCGCGATGTCGAACAAGCCCTCCTCGGGCCAGCGGGCGGTGCAGCCGCTCGCCAACAGCAACAGCAAGGCCAACCGCCCCAGCTCCGGTCAGAAGCCGACCGGCAGCCCGTCTGCCAAGCGCGGATCGCGAGCCAGCGCCGCCGCCGCGGCGGCTCGTGCAAAGGACCCGTTGCGGTACAAGACGGTCGAGTGCGAGAACTGGGCCCGCGACGGCAAGTGCCCGTACGGGGCTCGCTGCCAGTTTGCCCACGGAGCTCACGAGCTCCGGTCGAGGTCCACCAACACTGCCGCCGCCGCCGCCGCTGCCGCCCCAAAGCCAGACGCGTCTGACGAGGGAAAGGCGCGGCGCGGGCAGCGGGCGCGCCGGTCGAGGAAGTCGTCGTCGGAGACGGCCGACGCGACTGCGCCTCCCCCCTCGCCCGCCGTCTCACCGACCGCCAGCACGCGAGCGCCGTCTCCGCTGACGCTGCCGAGGACGGTGCTACCTGCGGCGCCGCTCGGCAGCCCGACGACGAGCGGCAGCAGCCGGCGGTCGAGCAACGCGGCGCCGGCGCTCTACTCCTCGCTCTTCTCGCCCGAGTCGCCTCGCTCGCCAATCAGCCTCACGCCCTCCAGTCTGCCTCCGCCCCGGCGGTGGCCCGCGCCGATGCCTCCTTGTGCGGTGACTTCGGCGACGAGCCACGTCCCTCACCCAGGACGGCCGGCGACACCTAACGAACCAGTCGCACCGCCGCCGCCTCCGCCGCCGCCGCCGCTGCCCAACTCACTTGTCCAGCCGCCGCTGCCCAGCCCTGTTGCCCGACCGCCACTGCCCCCGTCGCTGGGCCATCCTGCGCTGCTGCTGCCGCCGGCGCCGCCGCTGCAGTCGCATCCGCCGCTGCCGCATCCGCCGCTGCCGCATCTGCTGCTGCCGCATTCGCTGCCGCCGCCGCTGCCGCCGCCGCTGCCGCCGCCGCTGCCGCCGCCGCTGCCGCCCCTGCCTGCGCTGCCGTGCGGCAACCCTTTGCGGGACAGCATTCCCGGCGGCGGCGGTGGCGGCGGCGCAGGCGGCGGCGGTGGCCGCGGGCCGTCGCTTTGCTTGCGCGAGCACTCTGCCTGCTCCGCCGCCTCGTCTGGCGGTGAGTACGGCTACCTCACCCCCGACGAGGCGGAGGTGGTCTGCAACCCGGAGACGGGCCGCGTCGAGATAGCAGGCCCGCCCGCCGTCCGGCGGTATCTCGGCTGCACCTCGGCTGCACCTCGGCTGCACCTCGGCTGCGTCTCGGCTGCATCGCGGCTGCATCGCGGCCACACACCTCGGCCACACCTCGGCCACACCTCAAGGGCCACACCTCAAGTGCCACACCTCGGCCGTGTGCGAGCGCAGGCCCGCCCGCCGTCGCTTCGCGCGAGGTGTCGCACAACACGCTCTCGGTCCGCCGCACCATCTCGATGCTCTGGGCGGAGGACGACCACTCGCCAGCCGTCACAAGCAGGCTGCCGGCGGCGCATGTGCACTGAGCTCTCTTGCGTGGAGGAGGAGGCTTATCCGCCCCACCTCCTCCTCCCCCGCCAACCGTCCCCTTTTCCCCCCCCTCTTCTGGGGCCGCGGCGGGGAACTGGCCCAGCTGACGACGGGCCGCACGCGCGGAACCACTCGCTGGTGAGCATGCCGACGTCGGTCCAATTTGAGCCCCCGCCCCGCCTCTCAATCTATTTATCCCACGGCAGAGTCCAGAGAGAGATCAAGTAGAGTCGGCATCTCTCGTGCGCGCCGAGATACTATTCCAGTAATCCTTGTGAGCGGTCGGGAGATAGGACAACGCGGGCGCGTGGCTGCATGTGTCCGCCGGGTTCGTATACCGTCCCGCCGGGGCCAGACGTGTCACGTCCTCCACTGACACGTGCGATGAAGCGCGGGATGACCGATATCCGATATGTGGGGAGACTGTTTTCAAAAAGTTTTAACAGTTTTATCGTTTTTGTTCATCTCTCGCTCACCTCGCTCTTCTGGTGACATCTGAGCTCCTCTTTTGTGCTGACTCGCGTGGATATATGTCGTTTCAGGTTCAGCTTTTGTACTTTACATGATGAGACAGTGGCACGCGACAGCCGACAGGTCGTTCCTGTGCTTCCGTCTCAGCACCGTGTGCTCAGGCCTCAGCGGCACACGGCCACCCGGTCGGAGTAGTCGGCTAGGGGCAGAGCGTTCGGGACGCAGCCCTGATTCGCCTGCAGCAGGAGGAGCACGGCGGCGCCCGCGGCCACCGACAGACACGAGAGGCCCTCCGCAGCGCCTAGCAAGCCGCCAGGCCGCTCGCCACGCGCCTCGCTGAGGAACGGAAGGCCAGACCCGGTGGAAACCTTGCCGTAGAGCGCCGCACCGGCGAGCCCCACCACCAGCAAATAGGAGACGCCCTCGACGAGGCCGACCACGCCGAACGGGCCCGCAGGGAGGCCGCCGCCCGTAGTGGCGACGCTGTAGAGGGAGGCCCACATGACTGCGTTCGAGCCGAGGCCCGCGGCCGCGGCGGCGGCGACGGAACGAGGCGCCAGCTCGCCGTCGTCCGCTGCTGCCGCCAGCCGGCGCGACCGAGTTGACAGCGCAGGCGACTGCATCCGTGATGGTGCGGCCGAAGCCGCGTGCAGCATCCGCGGAGGAGCAGATCGCCCCGCCGCCGGCGGCGGCGGCGGGTTGTGAGAGAGCAGCGGCGAGTTCGGCCCCACCTTGCCGCACGCCCAGACAGGAGAGCCGTCGCCGAATGTGAGGCCATTCTGCAGCTCGCAGACGACGCCATCGGCCTCGGCGGGCTCGGACGCGAGGAATATGTTGGTCTCCTCACACGCGCTCTGGTTGCACAGCCAAGCCACGCCGAGCTCCTCAGACGTAGCGGCCGCCGCCAGCTGCCGCCTCCTGCTATCTGAGGCTGCGCTGCGCAAGCGCTGCAGGTGCGGCGCTGTGCCGTGCGCAGGCGCGATGGCGCAGACGGCAAAGAGGTGCATGCACGGGGGAGGTCGACGAAGCACGGTGGACGAAGCGCCGCTCCGGGTACGGGCACAGTACCTTGCGCGAAATTTCGGGAGGTCACAGTGAGGCACCTTCAAAAAATCCCTTTTCGGGGAGGAACCTCGTGGGAGAATAGCCGCCCTCACCCGCTGCCGCGCATCGAGCTTGGCGGGGCCTGATACGTGTCATTCTGTGCCGGCGCGTATCTTAGCCAAGATACGCGGCCACACGTGCAGACGCGTATAGCGGTACTCGCGCCCCCACACGTGCAGCCGCCTATCTTGGCCAACAAACATAGGCGGCTGCGCTTGCAGCCGCGTACCGCGTGAGGTAAGGTAAGGTAAGGTAAATTTCTCCACACACAAAGTGGTGGGGCAAGGGGGGGCGGCGACCCTCGCATCTCCACACCCGGACACGGGCAGGAGCCCCACGGCATTCAAAGTGCAAGCACTGGCCCGGTGCGCGTGGGTGAGCAGCCTGCCCCTCCCTCCCGACAAACCAACTCCCGCACACACACAATCGCACTCTGGCCATCGAATGACTCCGAATGACTCACTGTGTGTGCTGAAGACAGACCGCGTGACATACACGCCCACGCATCGGGATGGGGCATGTATGTTCCCCTAGATAGGCGCCCACAACGCGTAGCCGCGTATGTCAACATCCCTCTGTGCATGCCAGAGCGAATCGCCTCGCGCGACGGGCCGTTTCACGCGCTCACGCCCACATAATTATAAAAAAAGGTAATCACACCCTGCGTGTCACGAGTGCGAGCCGCTCGCGGTTCGTACGCCCGCTTGCGGGTTCGAGTGGCGGGCCATCCCGCTTGCGGGATGGCTTAGCGGGTTCGAGCCGTCACACATTGGCTGCCGGGGTGTGCCGAGGGGGGGCTGGGTGGGCGGTAAGCCGTCATTGCCCGGCGCTGCTTGCAGCGATCTGGGTGGTAGTGGCGGCGCTCCAAGTAATTAGAGGGCCCACAGCGTCCCAATCTAAAATCTGAGGATTCAGGATTCAGGCATCGCTTCAGTGGGGCCAAAGTGAGTTTATGGATGTGTGAGAACGGTCGGGACACGAGGAGTCACGCGGACCGACTCGTCGGCGACTCTGCTGCACGCCGTTTCAGATTTTTCTCAGCGTGAGCGAGACGTGGAAGAGTGCCACCGTCGGGTAGGACGGGTCGGCCCGGAGCATCAGAGTAGCCGTCGTGGTCGCGGCGAGCAGCGCCGGCCACTCCGGCGTCGCGTCGGCAACATGGGAGCATGTCCACCGCCACTTCGCGGTCGCAGTGCTGTTTTGTCGCCAAACGCCGCATGTACCTCTGGCGGGCCAAAGATCGACTCGCATGTCGATTTCGACTTGACGGCGGCATGGAGGCATCACGTCTCCATGCCGCCGTCAAGTCGGAGCCAGTCTGCGGCGATCACAGCGCTCGCAGGAGGTACATGCGAGCTTTTCCGAGTCAAGCGATTGCGCGAAATCCCACAGTGGTGGATTTTGGGGCGCGGTGCACCCCCTAACCGTCCAAGAGTGGTGCTCTTGGGAAGAGGTTCCTCCTTAGTCCTTTCCGCTCCCCCCCCGCAAGGCGCGAGACACACGATACCTCTATAAACCCTCCCCCGCGGTGCTCTCTCGCTCTCCGTCTCTCCCGAGTCCCCGACGACAATCGATATACGACACGTCTCGTCAGGACTCTCTCACGTTAGATAGCGTTCATAGTCGGGGACCGCGACAATCGATATACGACACGTCTCGTCAGGACTCTCTCACTTTAGATAGCGTTCATAGTCGGGGACCGCGACAATCGATATACGACACACGTCTCGTCAGGACTCTCTCACTTTAGATAGCGTTCATATAGGGTCCCGTACCATGCGGTATCGACCCTATCAGTGCACAAGATATATCGTGTGAGGATATGCTCAGGAGGGTCGACACCTGTCGTGTGGGTTTGTGCATGCTCTCCGGTCTCCTCCCTGTACACTACACGCTAGGCTCTCATGCCATTTGCTGTGCTGCTCCATCGCTACTTCGCTAGGCTATCGCGCTTCCCGCCCCGCTCCGGCACCACGGGGATCGGGACTATGATCAGAGACTCTGCTCTCCGCGCGTCGCAGCCGGCATGCGTGGACGCGGACTGGAATACGGGGAGCAGCTCCCCGCGCCCCGTTGGCGTCAAGAAGTGAAGGCCGTGCCCGCCAGCGCCACGCACACCGTGAGGAAGGCCAGGCCTGCCATCGCGAAGCCGAGCTGGACATACTTGAGATTGCCCTGTTGACGCGAACGGAGGCGTGTGGGAAGCAGATCCGCAGGGCGCGCGAGAGAGGTGTGGAGTCTCACCGATCCTCGTGCCCCCCCCTCGCCCGCGATGCAGCGGCCGATCAACGAGCAGTGATGGTCGTGACCAATTACGCAGCGCTGGCAGTAGCGGCAGTGATGCGCCGTCTGCCGCTTCGCGCGCCGCCGCCAGAAAATGGTGTCCTCTTTGGACTCGACGCCGCCGCTCGGCCGCCAGACGAGGCAGCGCACACAAAACGTCCGACCCGACTCGTCCTTCACATTCTCCATGCCCTCAGTCGTCTGGCCCGCCGCTAAGCGAGTCTCCACTTCTCGCGGGATGGGAAGCGTGGATTCCGGTGTGCGCTGGATGTGCGGCGGCTCCACGAACACCACGATCCACACGCATGCCAGCGCGACACCGGTCTCGACGAGGGTGCAGATGAGGAGGTACAGTCGCAGGCCGGATGGCGAGAGGGCGGTGAAGCCGATAAACGCTGCGAAGGTGACGATCACGAGGGCTATGCCGAAAGTTGGGCTGCGACCAGTGCTTGTTGGCGAGGGGAGCGGAGGCAGTTTGGGAAGAGTAGCCTCGAGGTCCGCTTTCATTGCCACTCGCCCCCTCTGATTTCTGACGGATCTCTTTCATTTTTTTTTCATTCTCTCTCTCCCCCCCCCCTCTACAGAGGCCACAGCGTCCACACATGGAGCACATATAGTACACCGCACACATGCACACAATACTGTACACACCCGACTCTTGACGGGAGCGGACTGAAGACCCGACGAGGATTGGCGAGCAATCGCTTCAATCCGCCTCTTGGGCGCAGACATACGGACCTTCAGCACGTTGGGTCCGTGTCGCCGTCGTCCTGAGCATTCTCGCGCTCCATCTCGCGCGGCTCCGGCGGCGTGGGCACCTTCAGTGAGCGGGGGGTCTCGACCCACGGCTGGAGGTGGGGAGCGGGCGGCTGGCGGGGAGCCGGCTGGAGTGGCGCCATTGCGCACTTGACGAGGGCGCGCGCCATCTTGCGGCCGCCCGCAGAGGAGGGCTCGACACGCGAGTGGTAGTCGGAGCTCGTCTTTCCGTCGAGCACCTCGAAGAGCGGGAAAGCGACCACTGCGACGCCTATTTCATTGTCGGAGCGTGAGTAGGCGTTACGTGCGACTTGGAATGGTTGCGGGGGGCGCTCGCTCGCCCGGCACGCGGATTTTCTTGGTGGCGAGCTCGAAGACGGTTCGAATCATTTGCTGCAGCCGGCCGGGCGCCTGTCCACAGCCAAAGGTGTGAACGGTGGATCGACCGCCGGGAGGCGTTCGGTTGGAGGCGGGCGCCCAGTTGTAGCCGAGGCAGCACAGGGCAGGGTCGGCCCAGCCGTACGGAGTGCACGCGACCTGCGGGGCGAGCGGGGGCGTGCCGGAGTACTCGAGTAGGAAGTTGCGCGTGTGGTGGTGGGGAGCGGCGCCTCGTCGAGGTAGTAGATCATGCAGACGAGAACCTTGCGCGGCCGCGTCTTGCCGACCAGCCGCCGCACGTACCTCTCCACCTTGTTGCGGAAGAGGTCGACGATGTAGCCGAGCCCGAGCGGCCACCCCGCCAAGCCCGTCCGCAGGCAGGCGGCCGTCCCGCACGTCGCGTGGTCGGCGTCGAAGGGGCAGTCCAGCGGGCAGGCGCAGGTGCGCTCGGGCCGGAGGCACGCCTATTCAACCCCACAGCGCACGTGAGACGCAAGACGCTGTCTGCACGGCGGGTCCGCTCTCCGGCCGGAGGCACGCCTATTCAACCCCACAGCGCACGTGAGACGCAAGACGCTGTCTGCACGGCGGGTCCGCTCTCCGGCCGGAGGCACGCCTATTCAACCCCACAGCGCACGTGAGACGCAAGACGCTGTCTGCACGGCGGGTCCGCTCTCCGGCCGGCGCTGCCTCGGGTGTGAGGGCGAGGGCGCCGACGTTGGCGAGCGTGGCGAGGAGGGGCTGGAGGGCGATGTCGTTGCCTCCGACCGAGACGAGCAGGGTGTCCTGCTCCTCGAGGTGGTCGCGAAGGAACTCGTCTTGCGCGTAGAGCCCACACCCGCGCGCGTAGAGCAGGGACATCTCGACCGCCGCGTTGACGCAGAAGTGGCCTTCGGGCCCGCCGTGGCCCTGCGCCTGCAGCTCCGCGTTGACATGAAAGCAGACGTCCTCCTGCATCGGGCCGGCCAAGGCGTTCTCGTAGCCGTTGCGTGCCGCCGACCAGTCGTGAGGCACCCACGCCTTGTTGTCGAATGATGAATCGCCAGCAAGCCAGACGGCCGGCCGGCGCCGACCGCCGCGCCCCGGCCGCAGCGCCTCGTGCACAAGGTGCAGGTGCGGGAGCAGGTGTCCAGTCAACGGACTGTAGTAGTCCTTCGAGCAGACCAGCTTGTTGGCAGCGACTGCTGTCGCCACAGTCCTGCGGCCGCCACCGAAGCCAAGAGCGGACGCGGCGGCGGCGGCGTAGAAGGCAGCGGGAGTGATCGCCTCGGCTCGCTCAGCGTCGTCGGTGCTGGCCTCGGATGCGGTGCATGGGGTCTGGTCGGCCATGTGGTCTGGGAAGGCTGGACTGGCCATGTTGAGACGCACGTCCCCCCCCCCAGATGCAGATGCAAAATAAATAAATAAAACGCACAACTTGTGGTCGGCGCCTAGCCGGGGTCGCTGCTCGTCCTGAATTCACACACACTGACTGTGTTCACACGTGTTCCCCCCCCCCCCCCACCACACACACACACACACACACACACACACACACACACACACACACACACACACACACACACACACACGGACGTACGCATACGAACCGCATTATGACACAGATTCGAGACTCGATCTCGAACTGGGGTCTCGAGGTTCGATCGAGTGGACGCCATCGGTTTAACCGACCAAGTTTGGTCATTTGGTCATAGTTGACCATCGGGCACCAAACTTGGAAATGCGGCGTCGAAGGAGATATGTTGAGATAGAGAGCGTGTCTCGTCTAAGTAAGTGTGTGGGGGAAATTGACCAATCGGGCAAAATCGGCCGAGCCACAAGCGGAGTGGCGGCTAGCCGATTTAAGTGGGGGACTTGTTGTATTTCTTTTCTTAACTAGCAGGTTGGCTCGCTAGTCGCTCGCCGGCCCGCGCAGCACGCGCGGGCCTTTTTTGTGGTCGGATGTTGGTCGTCTCGAATTTGATCGTGGGCAGGGCGTGAGAAAGCTGGACGGCTCGGTCGATGCGAGCCACCAGCTCGTGAGAGCGACGTGCGCGACGGGTTCCTCGGCGTAGGCTTGGGCGTGGTGAGCAGCGCCGGCGAGAGAGGGACGGCATGCGGCTCCCAAACGAGCCGCACGGGCTTCATCTGGGCCGCCGAGGCCACCTCCTTGGTCGCGGTGGCGGGCGTGAAGGCGAGGTGGGCCGAGGCAAGCGCTGAACGTGCCGTGCCGCCTTGCGCCCCTGAGGAGGGACGAGTGTGTGGGGTGCCACGGGCGGGGGGGAGCGGTGAGAGGAGAGCGGTGGGCACCCCCACGAGGGGCTGCGCTGACGCCGCCTGCCACCCCACGCACGCCACTGACGCTGTGGGGGCGGCACGATCGAACGCGCTGGTCGGGCGGGCCGTCTGAGTCGCCCAAGCGGTGCTCTGCCGGCCGGTGGACGCGAGGGTGGCCCAAGAGGGCTCCAAGTACGGAGCCGATACCCGGCCGTCCCGGACGCCTGGCACGCGGGCCAATGGTCCAGCTGTCCTGTGCATGGCTGGAGCGAAGGAGGGAGAGCTCAGGAGGGCGACGGGGCAGGGAAGGGGGCGATGCGATGCGGCGAGGTCTAATCGGCGGCGTGGAGAGAGGAGGTGCCAAAAGGCGACTATAGAGAGGCCTCTACGGGTGATATAGTGCGCCATGCCGGCGGGAGAGGTCTCTCACCGCCCCCCGGGCCGTCTCGAAGGGCCGTGCAGCCCACGCCACGAGGCGCTGCTGGCGGGAGCCTGGAAGGACTTGGCCTCGTTGCACCGCGCCGCGTTGATTCGCGACCACCGTCGGCCGCGGACGGCGGCGGCGTGGCGGCCGCGGGCGCTCGCGAGACGCGCCGCTCTGCGCTGGTTCGGTTCGTTCGACTCGTTCTTGGAAGCTCATCGATACGAATCGGAAACCGCCAATCTTGGGGGAGCGACGGACGCTGTCTTTGTGCTGCGCACGGCACACTCAGGTCGCAGCATCGAGATGCATCCAGCATCGGCTCGAGACGCGAGATTTCGACGTGAAGGCGTCAGGGAATACAAACCTTCGAGATCTCCGTGGCATTAGATTTTTCGAGTTAGTTCGTGTGACCGGAGCCGGCCCCTACAGCCCTACCAACGTGGCATTGCGTTAAAGTTTAAACATTATTAGAACGTACGTATATTATTTATAGACGCGTGACTCTCTGGCGCGTAGCGCTACGCCCCCGCGCCGTGCCCAGAGACTGGTCGTTCACAAAATCTTGGATTCATCAGGAAGGCGTCGTCCGCGCCAGACGGGCGCACGACATTGTGCAGCAGAGTGAAGCCGAGGGACTGGAGCGCCAGCAGCGCGTCGGCTTTTGCCTGGTAGCCTAGCGGGCTAAGGCGAGAGTGGAATTCGAGGAGCAGCTGGCACGCGGGAAGGCGCAGAACGGCTGGCTTCTGTTCGCTGCTGTCGAGGAGCATCGCGTTGAAGACTCGGAATTCAAATGCTTCGATGTCGATTTTGAGCAGATCGAGCCTTGAGTGATTTAGCATCGCCATCATTGTCGTGATCCGCAACGCCCGCGCAGTGTGACCTGTGCCCTTCTTGAAGCCTCGCGCAGAGCCGACGCCGTCTGCGGCATATGACGCACCGTGTCCCACCGGAAGCTGCAGAGTTAGGTTCTGGTCGCTGTCGCCCAGCACGAAGCGGTGCCAATGGAATTTGCGGGGCACGTTTTGTCGGCGCAGAAATGCGGTGGAGACGGGTGTGTCGTCAAAGCCGTGCACGTGGCACCTGTACATATTGATCAGCTTCAAGTCGAACGAGAGGTCTGTGCCAAGGCCGATTGAGTAGACGATGGAATCGCTATCAAGCCGATCCCCGTCGAACGTCCAACCGCCGTAGGCTGAGCCGCCGCGCGATGCTCTGAGCCGCGATGTCTCGAGGATGTCGGCATCGGCGGCGTGGGCCGTGGTGAATAGCAGAGTAAATGCCACTATGAGTTCGCCGCTGCACATGGACATGTATCAAGATCGGTGCGTCGCGCGCATCGACCGCCGCCACAGCTCGCCACGAGCACGCAGCGACAAAATGTTGACTGTACGGAAGTTGAGGCTGGTCGAGAGGAAGAGGCTGCCGTGCGAGCCGGCAGCAGGCCGGCTCGGCGTGGACTGCCGCGGCGACTTTTATGGGCTTCTTCTGTTCATAGTACCGTATACGGTACTATGGTTTACCCACATTAAGGGAGTACTCGCTGCCTCCGAGGGAGGGGGGTAGCGGGTTCGGCGACCTGGTGTACGCCACGGTCCCTCTGGGCTCCGTTGCGACGAAGGTCGCCCGGGACTGGCTCGCCAACGAGCTCTCCGAGCCGTCCCGGCGCGGCAAAATTGATGCGGCCTGCAGGGACCGAAAGATCGCCGACCTGATCACGGCTGCCGGCGCCTCGGCGCCGGCCGACGCCGTGTTCGGCGGCAGGTTCGCGACGGGCGAGACGCCCCGCCTGACGACCTCCGCCTCCGAGGCGGACAAGGGCGACGGCGTCGGCGGCGATGGCGGGACCGGCGTCCACTTTGACCTTTTCGAGCCGGACCCCACCCCCATGGAGGACCTCTGAGGTCCTCCCCAGTTTCACCCCACCTTACCTTTGCCCCCCCCCCCCCCTCCCCCCATCCCTCTGGTCTGCCTCCCATAGGGCAGGATAGCACTAGCATATGCGCCTAGTGCGCACTGGGCCCACACAGATGTGACCCGCCCACTCGAGTGCGGCGCCTGGATGCTAGTGCTTGAGAGGACACCACAAACGCGGCACGGCCCGTTTTGGATGTCTCTGCGGAGATTCTGTCTTAGCACACACAGTGAGTCATTCGGAGTCATTCGATGGCCAGAGTGCGATTGTGTGTGTGCGGGAGTTGGTTTGTCGGGAGGGAGGGGCAGGCTGCTCACCCACGTGCACCGGGCCAGTGCTTGCACTTTGAATGCCGTGCGCGGGGCTCCTGTAGAGCTGTTTAACGTTGGGAGCTAAACAGTGTTGCTAGTGTTAACAGTAACAACGGAACAACAGTGGGGCTCCCCAACAACAGTAGCTAACGTTAGGCCGGCTGAACACAACAATAAGGAAGGCCTGGCAGTGACCCACGACGATCTCCAGCGTCCAGTGCGGGTAATACCCGAAAATACCCGGAAAACCCCAGGTATTTTCGCGGGTTTTACCCGGGGGTGCACTTGGAGCACTTGGGGGTTTTGCGCGCATTTTCTGCTTGCTGGCCGCTGAACAACAGAGTAACAACAGTAACAAACAGTAACGGCATGGGCTGGGGTGAACACTTGAACAACGTTAAGGATTTCAGCCAACACGCTAGCGCAACTGTTAGGCCCAAAATTAATGTTAAACAGCTCTAGGCTCCTGCCCCCGACGCCCCGTGTTCCGGGTGTGGAGATGCGAGAGGGTCGCCCCCCCTTGCCCCACCACTTTGTGTGTGTGGAGAAATTTACCTTACCTTACCTTACGCGCCGCCCGCCTGCAGCGGCTCGTGGTGCGCGTTCCCGGTGGCGGCGTCTTCGAGGAGGAGCCGCTTGAGCGCCGCGTAGACCGGGCCCGGCCTCCCGTCGCCGATCTGCTCGCCATCCAGCCGGACGACGGGGTAGCCGTGCGTGTCGCCGGCGAGAAGAAAGACCTGAGGGAGGCGGGGGAGGGAAGGGTGGGCGCGTCTCCTCGAGGCGGTCTGTTCATCTCGTTGACCTCTTTGAAGCCTCGGCGGCCCCTCAGCGCCCCTCGGATGCACCTCGGCTGCACCTCGGCTGCACCTCGGCTGCATCTCGGTACTACGACCACATCTCGGCGGCATCTCCCCTGACCTCCCTCGCCGCGAGGAGGTCGGCAACGGTGAGCGGACCCTGCATGTGAATGGCGAGCTGTGAACCGGCGAGCTGTGAACTGAACCAGCGAGCCGTGAACAAGCGAGCTGTGAGCAAGCGAGCTGTGAGCAGGCGAGCTGTGAAGGCGAGCTGTGAATAGGCACTCAGCAGACGGAGTCGTACGAGGCGGTTGCAGAGACGCGGGTGCAGAGAGGCGGGTGCAGAGAGGCCGTGACCAGAGGCAACAGACACCACCCAAACGCCTGCACGACCCCCGCCAGCTCGCCGCGCGGCACAAGGTGCTCCGAAGCGAGCTCCATCGCGCGACGCACCTGTAGTGGACCGTCTCATTGTGAGTGAATTCATCTCTCCGACGCGAGCCACCACCCCCCCCGCGCCGCGCCGTCGTCCCTCGCAGCACGCGGCGGAAAGGCGGTGTCCGCAAGACCGAGTGGCCGTCCACGATCGCCACGTTGAGGACGCACGACTCCAGCACGTTGCCCGCGCCGTCGACGCCTGTTCACGGCCCGCCCGCGGTGAGGGGATGCCACTCCAAACTCGAGCACGCCGGCGATGGTGGCGGCGGCGCCGATGCCGTACGTGCCTCCCCGCTCCTTGGCGGCGAGCATGCACAGCGCGTTGAGCAGGTAGTTGTTCGACTTGAGCTCGGCGAGCGCGGCCGGCTTGAGCGGCACCTGCTTAGACGCCGCGAGCCTTGAGGAGGCGTCTAGCGAGTGTCTAGGAAATGTCGAGCAGTCGCCAGGACCCGAGCAAGTCAGTGATCCACCCGTCACACGGGGCACACGCACACGCGGAACACACGCGGGGCAGACACGCGAGGCGTGATGTGCGATCTCGGGGAGCGGTTCCTGCTCAGACAGCCGCCGTGAAAGACGCCGTCTCCGCAGGTGAGCGCGCGGCCGACGAGAGGACGGCGCCACGCTCTCCGGCACAGTCGCCTCCGAGATGCCGACCGTGTCCGCATCCTCGGAGCCTGGCAGTGGTGGCAGACCGCCAAAGCAGAGCACGTAGAGGGAGGGCGTGCAGCCGGCGGGAGTGACGCCGAGGTTGCCGGTGCCGGCGGTCAGCCAGAAGCGGACGTCGCAGCTCCGCCGGCCCGACGCGACGCACGTGGCGCGCACAATCTCGGTGATCCTTTCTCGGTTCGCCGCCTCGTCCCCGCCAAAGGGGAGAGGAAGCCGCGCCGAAGCCGCAGAGGCGAAAAGGCGGTCGAGGTGGACCTGGAGGCGGTACATCCGACCCTCCGCGAGCGAGCAGGTGTCAAAGACGGCGTGGCCGCGCACAATCGCGTGGTCGTCGACCGGCAGCGTCATCAGGGAGACGTTGGTGGTGATTGCGTCAGCCACCGACGAGTAGAAGGCGAAGAAGCCCTCCTTGCCCGAGCGCGCTGCGCCGACGAGCTTCGCCCACGCCGCGGGGTCGTTGACGACGGCTGGCATGACAGCCGGTCGGGGAGAGGTGTGTGCTGCTGGCGGTGGGGGGGTGCAGGGCAGAGAGCCCGCCGGGGTGGGGGGCAGGCTCAGATCAGCACGCTGAGATTTCTTCTTTTTGGAGAGGCACGAGGCATCTACGCGCTCTCTCCCCATGTCCTCGCGCCCCCAGCAGGACCTGAAGGAGGACCCGGCCCTCGCCGAGGCGCTGGACGCCATCCCCCAGAACCCGTCCATCCTCAAGGAGCGCAACGCGCAGCGCGCCGAGCTCACCCCCGACGCCGCACCGCCGACGCGCTCAGAGAAGAACCTCCCCTCGGGCAAGGCCGAGGACATCCCGCGCAAGAAGCTCAAGTCGCGGGCGACGCCCCCCCTCGGCATCAGCTCGGGAAGCGCTGTTGTCCCGCCCGTCCACCGCCCGAGATCCAAGCTCACCGGCCCCGCCGCCCTCCCGCGCCGCGCACCGGACCAGAAGTTGGTCTCCGGCGCCACCGACAAGCGGGCGGCGCGCGACAAGGAGGACGCCAAGCTCCCCGCGGCGCGCCAGAGCGGGAGCCCCTCGCCCGCCGCCCGCCCTGCGAGCGGCGGGGAGGATCCCTCTGGCGGCCGCGGCTCCGCGCCGCTTGCCTGAGCGCGCTGCGCCGACGAGCTTCGCCCACGCCGCGGGGTCGTTGACGACGGCTGGCATGACAGCCGGTCGGGGAGAGGTGTGTGCTGCTGGCGGTGGGGGGGTGCAGGGCAGAGAGCCCGCCGGGCTGGGGGGCACGCTCAGATCAGCACGCTCGACCTGGAGCTCTCTCGAGGTCTCGACGAGGGCAGTGTGTCAACAAGTGTCGCTCTCGCACTAGCCAGCACGGGTGAGTGAGAGCTCTCCCCCCAGCAGGTCCAGTCAGCTGTGAGAGATACAAGAGGAATTTTTGTGCCATTTACGCCCCATTTACGGTTTAAAATTCTTTTCGGATCGTGCGGTGACGCCCTCGTTTTTTCTTTAGACTTTTTGCCTCTTCCATGTTCGCTCTCACGGCGAGCCCATTATGCGTCTCTCCCGTGCAGGGGCGCCCGGCGCCCAGGCTGCTACTCAACGTCCGCATGGCATCGGACGCCACTGACGATGAGCATCTGATGGATAGCCTGCGAGAGCGCATCCGCGTCGCGGCCGGGTCATCCGACGAGATCTCCAGTCTTCCGCCCTCAGGGCAGGCTGGCGCCTCGGCCGCGAGCCTCCGGGTCCGGGTGGGCTCCATTCGGCCGGACGGGCTCGAGGGCGCGGGCGAGCGCTACGCCGACGCCTCGCTCGCCACCACGACCGGTCCCGTCTTCAACGCGGACGACCTCCCCGCGGGCGAGCTCACTCCCGCGCGCGCGATCCGCGGGCTGTACGCCGCGTTCAACGCGCGCGACGCGGCGTGCGTCGGCTCGTTCCTGACCGACGACTGCGTCTACGAAGACCTCCTCCTCGGCCCCGCCACCGTCTGCCGCGGCAAGGAGGCCTTCATCGGCGCGCGCCTCCCCGCCCCAGTCCGACGGACACTTCTGAAGACACTTCCGAGACACGTGGCCGGCGTGGCGGCGGCGGCGGCGCGGCGTGCCGACGGCGGGAGGGGAGGCGGCGCACGGCGCGCCTCTTGACGGCTGGCCTTGCACGCAGGCGCCCTACGCTTCCACCCTGCCTTTGTGAGCAGCCGCCTACTAGACGGGCTTCCGTTTGCGTCGCTGTTGCCGCCGCTCACGCTCGAGGTTGACACTTCCCAGACCTTCCGAGACACTGCCGAGACACTGCCGAGACACTACCGAGACACGTGCCTCGATGCCTAGCGCTCCCAGTGCAGTGCCAGTCCTTTGGGACCCCCCGGTCCTTTGGGCCCTCACCTTCGTGCCGCTGTCCGGTGAGCTGCGTGCTGTGTGTCCAGCAGTCCGGACCCGGTGCTAAGGCCGGTGACAGTGTGCCTCGTGTCGGCTCCCGAGCCAATCGTGTGCAGCGTGTGTGTGTGCGTGTGGGCCCGTCCTCCATGCTTGGAGGTGTGTAGCACTGACTGACTGACTGACTGACCCTCGTGCCGCTCAGCAGTTCGGCGTCTGCTGTGGGCGTTGCGTCCTGATGTCGAAGAGTCGCTGACCACTCTGACTAGGTGGACTCCATCGCCGAGGGCGAGGACACAGTGGGCGTGGAGTGGCACGTCCAGTGCGGCGACCGCGGCCTTCGGGCTTGAGGACACGTCCAGGACATGTCCGAGACATGTCCGAGACATGTCCACAGGCGACGCGCCTTTCCCGCTCGGCCGTGGCCTCTCGCAGGCGTCGACACCAGATCTCCCCAGGTCTCCCCAGGTCTCCCCAGGTCTCCCCAGGTCTCCCCAGATCTCCCCAGATCTCCCCAGGTCTCCCCAGATCTCCCCAGGTCTCCCCAGGTCTCCCCAGATCTCCCCAGATCTCCCCAGGTCTCCCCAGGTCTCCCCAGGTCTCCCCAGGTCTCCCCAGGTCTCCCCAGGTCTCCCCAGATCTCCCCAGATCTCCCCAGGTCTCCCCAGATCTCCCCAGGTCTCCCCAGGTCTCCCCAGGTCTCCCCAGGTCTCCCCAGGTCTCCCCAGGTCTCCCCAGGTCTCCCCAGGTCTCCCCAGGTCTCCCCAGGTCTCCCCAGGTCTCCCCAGGTCTCCCCAGGTCTCCCCAGGTCTCCCCAGGTCTCCCCAGGTCTCCCCAGGTCTCCCCAGATTTCGAGGCCTAGATGCGGAAACGCCGACCCGTGTCTTCCAACTTCGACAGCTATCGCACCTCAGCCTCGGCCGTCCTCCCCCATCCCTCCCCATCTCTACGCGGAGCGGCGATCCAGCAGCCCCGCTCGGAGCCTTCCTGGAGCCTTCTCGGAGCCTCGCCTGTACAGGCGCGCGTCGACACGCAGAGCGGCAAGATCTGCCGCGTCGTTGACATTGCCGAGGCGCCGTGGCGCGTCATCCTAGAAGCGGAAGGCTCCGCATGCAGAGCGTCGCCTCGCCAGATCTCCCCATATCTCGCCATATCTCCCCATAATCCTAGAAGCGGAAGGCTCCGACTCCATGACGCACTTGCCGCTCCCTGGCATATCATAGCCCAAGTTGGGGTTGTACTGGCGGGTAGCGCCGGGAGAGGAGACACCGACGAGGGAACCGCCCTCCTCCATCCGCGCCACACCGCGCTCGCACAAGTCGACGTAAGCGTGTATTCTAACTAGCGCTCGAGAGGACTGTGGCGTCCACACGGCGCGAGACCGTATTCACGCCCTGATGCTGGCGAGCTCACCATGCTAGGCGCGTCATCGGCCTCCTCGTGCTGCCCTTCATCACCGCGTACCAGCGCCTCACCGCCCTGCAGCGCGCGACAGTCGAGCAGCAGCAGCAGCAGCAGCAGCAGCAGCAGCAGCAGCAGGAGTTTGGCGAGTCGCCGCCGCTGCAGCAGCAGCAGCAGTTGACGCCGCCAGAGGCCGGTGCCGAGGGCGCGGCCGTCCGCAGCGACGAGGACGTGGAACGCGAGTCTGGGCTCGCTAGAAGCCGAAGACAGACCTTTGTACTCCCACCTCGCGCTCGAGAGGAGGCCGCTGTCAGCATCCTTCAGCCGTACGCAGCGGTACTCACCATCTTCGCCTCCCTCGTACTCACGCGGTGCTCCGAACACATAGCGTGGTACCACCGCTCCAGTTTCCGGAACGGACAGACAGGCAGGCAGCGACCACAGAGTGTGAGCCGTAGCTAGTGAGCTCCAACCAACACAGGCAGACCGCCAGCTATTCACACCGCAGGTACGGGCTGCTGCTCCTGGCGGTGCTTGCGGACGGCGTGGTCGACCCGCGCGAGCGGGAGGTGCTAGCGCGGTATGCCGAGGAGAATGGGTTGAGCGAGGCGCGGCGGGCGGGCTTGCTGGCTGCGGCAGGCTGGAGCGAAACCGAGTTCCGGGAGGGGCGGAGGGGCTTACCAAAGAGCGACTGAGTTTTGCCCCACCGCACCCGCTCCCGGCCCCACGCGCTCCGCAGTGTGTGATGCAGACTCTGCGCGTCACGCCCGCGGCCCGGAGGCTGTCACTTGTAGTGAGCGTCGGGCTGGTGGTTCGACACCGAGTTTGAAAGATCGGTTTCTCTACGTCTCTCTTCACAGGAAAATCCTGTGAAGAAAAGCGGAGAAAAAAACAGAAACCTTTTCTGCCTCGGCCTTAGCCGTCGGTACTCCGGAAGCGTGCTATCCAAGTAGCACGCAGCCGGGTCCCGAAGGTGTCCCATCCCAAATTCGTGCTGTCGACAGACCAGATTCGTGGTCCCTTGGTCGACTACACCCGCCTTTGCGCTTTGGACGGTAGCCCGACACAATACATTTGTCTGTCTTTTTGGATTGTTTGGTTCGTCTGGGTAAGGGTTTTGCAAGAAACCTCCTCACCACTGCGAACACTGTCTTGCTCGTAGGAGCCGTTCGTCCTTTGTCCGAGCAAACGCGCGTCCGATCACCCCGTTGAGCACGTGTGCAGGGTATCCGAGCGCCATGAACTCCCTGAGTTTGCTCGTCACGCTGAGCGCGAACCCTTCGTCATCGCTCGCCATAGCACTCACCTTGAGCAGGCATCCAACGACTATTCCCTCTTTCATCTTCGCGCATGTGAAGCTATCCCAGCGATGGTAGCGCCACACCCGAGGCTCTCTCTCGCAGCCCTCATTGACGTTCTTGAGTCTCGTCCGGAAACCTCCGTTCGCGTCGAGCTCGAGAGCCGTCTCTAAAAAATGAGCGTGCTGCCGGAGGCTGTGCTGCTTTTGCCATCGTCGATAGAATCGAGTTGTGAGCGGATCGAAACTAAGCGCATTTGACTAGTTGCAAAAAGTCTGTGGTGCAAAACCCGCCAAAAACTACCAAAATCGCTGTCACGGCCAGCTCGGCACGATCTACTCCAAAAAAGTGACGTAGAGCACCCATTCTTTAAGCGTTCGCCGCACATACACAAGGTCCGCCTGCGTGCGGCGCCAGCTTCTCAAGGGCCATCGCGCGAAAAACGACGGAGGAGATGCATCCTAGCTGTCGCCATCGTGCATCGAAGGCGACTCGACGCCGCTGAGATCGGAGATCAAGCTCTGACAGGTCACACGTCGCTCCTTTGACGCCGACGTGACTCACCCGTGCAGATCACATCAGGACACGGTCTCGACGCGCTCGGTACGACGCCTGCGACCCGTCTCGGGTCAGGTGGCACGACGCTCATCGCGCCTACCAGCGCTGCCGTACAGGTTGCCACGACGAGGTCGAGCACGCTTCTATACGCTCGCTCAGCCTTCCTTTCCATCCCATTAGGCAGCCTGGGAACGGTGGCGGTCAGAGGCAAAGCCTGCGAGGGGTGGTGGAACCACATGTCACGGCTACTGCCCGCTCGACCCCACGATAGCCTCCGGAGGCTGACTTTGAGGCACCATCATCGGCCCCCCATACTAGTACTCGCATAATGTGGGTAAACGAAAGTAGCGTGTACGCATGCTTACGCTACTATGAATGAAGAAGCCGAAAAAAGACGCCGCGGCAGAAACGCCGAGCCAGCCAGCTGCCGGCTCGCACGGCAGCCTCTTCCTCTCGACCAGCCTCAACTTCCGTACAGTCAACATTTTGTCGCTGCGTGCTCGTGGCGAGCTGTGGCGGCGGTCGAAGTTCGCCCAGATTCGGTGACGAGCGCCAGACGATAGTAGTGTCTCTGTTCGCCCTGTGCATGTCAGGCCAGGCTGCAGCAGGGCACTACCATCGTGCTGCCCTGCTGCAGCCTGACTTTGCCCACTGTGCACAGCCGCCAGAGCACCACCACCGCCCGGTATCGTGTCACGGCGAGCTTCTTCTGCGCCCGCTCGCGAGGCTCTCGCGCTGGTACACTTTGGCCATCTGCTGCTCGCGTTCGGCGAGCTCTTCTCCGCACTCCTGCCATGGTGCCGTCACCACACACCTTCTGGCCGGCCTGAGCCGCGCGGGGTCGCCGGCGGGGGCAACGCGTCGACCTCTCTCTCTGGTGCACCACGGGCCGCAACGGCCTGCTAGCAGCGTGCGCGAGGAGGCAGTGTGCCGGCACAGTCGAGCCGGAGCATCGGGTTCTTGATGCTTGTGGGGTCAAGTCTGACCTTATGCGGCCTAATATACAACAATAATGCTATGCTCTCACCCAGCCTTTTGAGATATGATCCCTCAAAGTCGAATTTTCGTTTACTGGTGACCATATACTTAAGTAGCCGTCTGTCATGTTTGCGTTTCTTCCAACGAATCCTTTAAAGTCTCGACAATCACTAAGCTGCTTATGTGGCACCGCAGAGGCTCCCTTGGGGATGCCTGAGGCCACCCCAACCACTCACGAAGCCGTACGTGGACGAATTCAAATCTACTTTTTTCGTTTACCTATACACACTAACCGCGAGTAGCACCAGCCATGGCCTCAGGGAGCGCGGGCGAGGGCGCTGGGAGCAACACGGACAAAAAAATCAAAAGTGGTCATGTTGACACCACCCGTATTTGCAACTAGTCATTTTTTCACGTGCACGGTACGCATGTATTGAGTGTGACTGCTGGATGCCCTCTTACCCGGGTGACTCTGGTCGGATCGCGACGTCCACCGCAGCCCATTGCACCGGCCCGCGTCAAACCCTCCCGAGAGCCGAGTTTGAGCCATCTGCCCCGCTCTGCGCACCGACATGCTGGTGGCTACCGGTCTCTTGATTGCCCCCCCGCCTCCCCCGGGGCCTGATTTTGACAATTCTCGTTCGGACCCCGTCTCCAATCAGGACCCCGTCTGGCGCGCAGCCCGGGACGCCCGCTCCCCGGGCCGGCCCGCCCATTGCGCATGCAGCCTGAGGTGTAGATACCCATCTGGATTCGCCGGGCCTTGTGCAAGGGAGGGAGGGCGGGGAGCGGCGCTGTGTATATCTAAGGGACCGCACCTCTACACGCAGCATGTATGTCAGCGCGGGCCCCAACATTAACGGCCGGGCGGCCCCGCCGATATCTACTATTATATTACCCTCCACCCTCCGGCGGGAGCACAAAAGATTTTTCAACAGGGGAAAACGCGGGACGGCGTGCAGATGACGATCGGCCGTCGATCCCGAAGGGTCGTCGGTTGAGCTAGGGAGCCTGGCGATGGACGCCACCGCGACCCCTCGTGGCATCTCTCTCGCCGCCGGCGAGCTCGCGGACGGCAAAACAATTCGTATAACAGTGTGCAGCCGTGAGAATTAGTTCAACTGTGAACGGGCCCGGGGTTGTGCGTTACGTGAACTGGAAGGCGTCTCTCGCTGCTCCCCCCCCGGACGCACGCACGCACGTCGTCGGTGGTCGCTTTGCCACCGAATTTCGCCGCCGATGATCACCTTGCTCGCCGTGGCGGTCGCGGTGTCTGTGTCCTCTGCCCCACCTACCGCACCACCGCAGTCGGCGATGTCCCTCACCTCGTTTATCGCGCCGGCGGGTCGCGCCGGCGGGTCCTGCGTTAACGTCAAGACGGGAGGCCGCACTCGGGCCGCCCTCCCCAGCCACGTCACCTGGGACGCGAGCGAGGCCGCCTGCCAGGAGCAGTGCCTCGGGCTGAAGTGGTGCACTGGATACGAATACCAGATCTTTACCCGACTGCGCGGCCGCACGCGCTGCATCCTGCAGCGGCTCCCCATCAAGCAGGCCGTGCCGGCGACCGCCTTTGACGCCATCTGCAAGAGCAAGATAAAGGTGAGAAACGTCCGGCTGCCCGCCGCCTCCCCACCGCCGTCGCCGCCCTTCCCGCCCGGCCTCGCCCCCACGCCGCCGCCTCTGCCGCCGCCCTATCCGCCCGGCAAGGCACCGACGCCGCCCCCGTCGCCGCCGCCCTTCCCGCCCGGCGCGACGCCGCTGCCTCCGCCCTCGCCGCCGCCCTTCCCGCCAGGCAAGGCTCCCCGCCCGCCGCCCTCTCCGCCGCCGCCGCCGTTGCGCCCGCCGAGCCCGCCGCCTCCGTCACCGCCCCCACCGAGCCCACCTCCACCGTCGCCGCCGCCGCCGTCGCCGCCGCCTCCATCGCCGCCGCCGCCGTCACCGCCGCCGCCCTCCCCGCCGCCGCCGAGCCCGCCGCCACCGAGCCCGCCGCCACCATCTCCGCCGCCGCCGTCACCACCGCCGCCCTCGCCGCCGCCGCCCTCACCGCCGCCCCCCTCTCCGCCACCGCCGTCACCGCCGTCACCGCCACCGCCGAGCCCGCCGCCTCCGTCACCGCCCCCACCGAGCCCACCGCCACCGTCGCCGCCGCCGCCGTCACCGCCGCCGCTGAGCCCGCCGAGTCCGCCTCCCAGCCCTCCACTGCCGTGCAGCGTGGTGCCGCGGGCGAGGTGCGGCGGCGTCCTCGCCTGCTACAAGGACGAGGCATGCTACACGCCGTGGAGAGACGCGCATAAAGGCCTGGGATGCAACGCCGGGTCAGTCCATCCCGCCTGCCGCTTCTGCGGCGGCAGAGATGTGCCACCGTGCCCAGAAGAGCCACCGCCCTCGGCGCCGCCGCCGCCGCCGCTGCCGCCGCCTCCTCTTCCGCCGCCGCCGCCGCCGCCCTCGCCGCCCTCGCCCTCACCGCCCCCACCGTCACCGCCACCCGCGCGCCCGCCGCCGCCCTCGCCGCCGCCACCTTCACCGCCGCCCCCGTCACCGCCCCCCTCTCCGCCCCCGTCGTCGCCACCGCCGTCTCCACCGCCGCCCTCGCCGCCCCCCTCGCCGCCCCCGTCGCCCCCCCCCTCTCCGCCGCCGTCGTCGCCACCGCCGCCGCCGCCGCCGTCGCCGCCGCCCCCCTCACCCCCCCCTTCACCGCCGC